AAGGCTGTCCGTGATCTATGAACAATCCCAGAGTGCTTGTTAATAAATCTCTCTTTGCTGTACAGCGAGTTTGTACATTCCTGAGGCTTCTTTGTGTTGAGGTGATTTACATAGAATGGAGACGGAACAGCCGGTTGAGGTGGGTCATGCGAGGATAGGCCCTTTTATCCACTCTGGGCCAATTTATGCTTCCTCTGCTGAACATGTTGGCCTTTTTTACACACACTAACACACACTCCCTTTACGAAGCATGCTCAGCTCGTCAGCCATTCCCTGTGAGGCATCCCACCAGCTGACTGTCCATGTGTTCCTGTTCTCCCCTGTACTGAAGTTAATGACTCTCAGATGAGGACATAATACAAATATGGACTTATCTCACACATACAGGCCCTGTCTCACTCAGGCCTGAATATGTTTCAGGCAGAAATCTAATGATTCCTGTTTTTTTAGGGTAACATAAAGAACATTTCAGAAAACGTATGCCTCCAAAGTTGACTGAGGTCACAACATGACTGTAGCTGTTTTCAACTGTTATCCAACCATCAATATTTCAATTTCAATTAACAACTTTATAAATCATCAAGAACAGGGACAGTAAATTCACAAGTTTGACAATACTGAACCAAAAAGACTCTTGAAGAAAGTTGTTTTGTTAGTTTTTTTCGGTCCATTTTTGTCTTCATTGGATAGGTCAGCTGAAGAGAGACAGCGAATGTTGAGAGGAATGAGTGGGGCAGCAAAGGGCCGAGGTCGGATTCAAACTCACAGTGGCTGATATGTGGACCATAGCCTCCGTACATGGGATGCGCTTGGCTACTGGCGCCCAAAAGAAATGTTTAATTTGAGTTCCGGTTGAATCTAGTTGTTTGAGCAGACACCCCACATACAGAGGCAAAGTCATTGGCACGCTGCTATGAGTATGACCCATGACAGTGACATTATGGATTGCCCTGCCAATTTGACTCACCACATCACAGCGTCATGACCTCACTCTTACAGTGGTGCTTATGACATGATGAGGGTAACTTGAACAGAGGTTAATTAGCCAAAGAAAAAGTTGACAGCTGGATAAAAGAAGGAAAAAAATACATAGGGATAATGCCAAACATACGGAGAAAAGGTAATAAGAAAACTGACACCAAATTGTATTGAATAAATACATTGATCCTGCACTTAACCTTCATAGGGCCTTTTGTATTCTTCACTTTAGAAGTTGTCTTGCCGAATATGAACTGTATCAGTATAACTGTATTTTTATTGTGGGCCTTATATCATGTATTACATAACATATGGTATCGTGAGTAACCCTGCATTTCCCCTCCATAGTAAAATAGTGAAAATTCATTTTCAGTTCTAGTTCCCTTGCTTGTTTTTCTTGTTTTAAAGTTTATGTCAAATGAGAAAAGTTTTGACACAATGCAGTCTAGAATATAACTGCATTTTATTGACAATGATAATAAAACTGCACATTTCTATTCGTCAAGTGGCTGTGTGCCTTTACCAGCACATATTTATGTTCCAGATCTGTTCAAATAGCCTAATAACCTTGTCAACTTTGTCAACTTCTTCTTTTTAACCATGTGCGATCAGACTACTTGTTGGTCTTGAGGTCTTTGAGTGCATGTTGTCAAACTTCTGCCCTGAGGAGTGACAATTACTCTGCTACTTTATCTCCTACTCAGCACTTCCAGAATAGAATAGATCTTTACGAGCCCCAAAGGGAATTTGTCATGCACATAAAGAGAGGGGTCAGTGCACAAAATCCGACACAGGACATGCCGTACAGTGCTCCTCCATTACATAACCTCATTATTCAGTTGAATCTGCACTCGGGGGGAAAAAAAAAGTTGGGAAAACGCTTCCGACATCATAGAAATTAAATCAAGCTGCTATTTTGCAATACAGAAAGTAGAATAATGTTCAAAGCATTCAATTCTTTCAAATACTTTTTATTTTGTGTATCCAGCCAGCCCTGTTGGACAGTGAAGGAGGCCTCGATACATATTTGCCTGCCCGGGATCCCTCATAGAGGGCTGGAGAAAGTGGGCGAGTGAAAAATGGGGGCGGAGGCTATAGTCTCGGTGCTAAACAGGAAGTTGCACAACATCTGTTCTTTGGCATTCAGAGAGGGAGTATATGGCCAGCTGTGTGATTTAGAGTGTATCTTCAAGCAAAAAAAAGTGCTGCATCCAGGCAGACAATGTGTCAGTCCCCTCAATTTCCCAATTCCTTGAAATGTGAAAGCTTGCATTACTCACAGTTTCCATGTCCTTTAAATAGAGGTAATTTGTGTCACATCCCCTGGAGAAAAAGAAATGTGTGCTTATTCATTGGCAAAGGTTAAATATGAGAGAATTATTTCAAAATAATGGCAAACTACTTGGCAATAGGTTCTTTGCAACAGTCTCAAAATGGGAATCACTTTAGAAACTTCACAGGCAGAACAGTCCGAACACAGGCCTTTTTGATGTGCATTTATTTCTCTGAAGAAGACACAGAGACCCTTTTCTTTAGATGTTTCTGTGCAGCCACTATCTGTGGGCAAGAGGAAGATTTACTGTAATTATTCCATGAATTTGATCGGACAGTGTTAGCATTTCTGTTCAAACCGATTGTAAAAAGCATATGCTAATCTTTGTTTGTGCAGAATCAGTTTAAAATGTAGCCATACTAATAACAGACACAGGAAATAAAACCTAAGCAGTGGTAATGAATTCGAAGAACAAATCAAATGCAAACTGCAAGAGGTAAGTCAGTTCCTGTCCCCTAGATCAGTATGTCTACTCAGTCAAACTGTGAACTTGAAGTACATTTAAACTGAATGTCAAACTAGTTTTTCTTGATATTTACCATCACATGTCTACATAGGGGAGAGAGAAGAGCCTGCCTGTAGCATACACATTTAGCATATAGGACCTTTGATTACCGAGCATTACGTTAAACAAACCTATACGAGTGAGTATTCAGACAGGTTTTAAAGGAAGATAACCTGGGAAATGAGGAAGATCTTTTTCTCACCGTAGGTCACATGAATCACAATAGAACAACTCTCCTTCAGATTTAGTCTTAAGAGCAATAGAAACGGGGACATCACGCTGCAGATAAACAGGTCAAATTATCAGAGCGGCCTGGAGCTAGACTCTGACAAGAATCAATAAAATCTTGGCTTGTTTTTTTGAACTTTTATCTCCTGCAACTTTCCAAACTTGTTGGCTCAGCAGTGACACTGAGCAAGCTCACTTGTTCACTGAAACACTGAATATTTTATATCTTTTTTTTTTTTTTAAATGCAAGGGGCTGCATTAATTTCCTTAGAAAAAGACGCATCCTGACAAATGGAAGTGTTATGGAATAGCATCTTTAAAAGGTTGGGTGTAGTAATACACCGTTTAAAAGTAAAATAATTGTGATTCCTGTGATGTTGTCCCTTACTGTATTTGGAAATATAATTAGTAAAAACATGAAGGTGGGTGGGGGATGGTGCACTGAGATGCAAGCAGTAGCTTTTAAGATTCTGAGGTTTCAGATTATTAAGGGTGTTTATCGGCATTAAATGTCATTTTGCTCTTCATCTATGAAATGTGACTAAAAAAAATGTCATTGATTCATCAACAATTGCTCAGATGAAAAACTACTTCATTTATCAGTTTGTATCAGAACAGTGACAGGCTGTGGCATTTGAACATATTCACTATGTCTAATCTACATGTTGGTCCCTGTATGCACTGACTGTATGTACCTGATGGTATTTCTTATACTCGTTGTTGATGAATTACACACCCCGCCCAGTTACCCAGATGACTGACAGCTTTTCTAAGTAGGTCATCCATGTAAATGCCAGCCTGTCGGTTTACATCAATGGATGCAAAGCGAAGTCAGCACCCTGTGACCAAAGTCAGGCGAGTTACACTCTGTGTAGTCTTATTTACACTACACCGACGGGTACGCTCATATAACAGTGATATTTGCCAATGCATTCCCTGTTTCTCAGGCTTTTTTATTTATTTATATGGAAGTTAACATGGCTGTTGCTTTATGCATGCTGTTTTCCCTATATGCAGATTATTTTGAAGCACTTGGATGTCTTTGGGTTATATTTTAATAAAAGCTGCTGGTTCACTTATTAAAGGCATATTGAGGTCCAAATGTGATAACGTGGTGTGTTTAGCTTGATATATGAAGTATGTGTACAATCAAAGTTGCCCCTCATGATGTACCTAAAATTAAGCCTCTTGATTTCTGCTGCTCTACTCAAGAGTTTTATTGTCTTTAAGCTTTTTCGGTTTTATGATCTACAGCTTTTGAGGTATGGTTTATTCTTACTGCCTTCATCAGTTGCTTTAAGCCACAACAGGCTAAAATCTCCACTTCTGCCTTATTCCACCAGACTGCAGGTTGAAAAACTTTGTGACAAGCTGTTGAACATTTTTGCAGCTGTTTTATTTGGCAACTTAAGAGACGTATTTTTTTCTAATTACATTTGGCAGGTGACCTTAAACATGACTCCAAGTGAATGCTAACTGCTGGCACTGTGAGCTAACTCTAAATGTCTGTCAGGATAATGTTGGCAGCTTGTTGGAGTAATTGAAGCTTTAATTAATCACTTAAAATCTATTTTGGATGCATTTGTCAAACCTCAGCTTGTTTCACTTTTTTTCAGGTTCCAAGTTATTGATTCAGCTTAACTAAGAAACATTTATTTGAGTTACATTTTATGTAATATATATTTTTCAACTCTGATACCCGACCTTCCACTTCCCCCCGCTTGCACCTCAACATGTTGTAATAACAGGATTTATTATTATGAATGAGTATGATTGTAGCCTATAGGTTGAATAGTTTTATTTTACAGGGACTGTGCACACCACACCTGAGAGTTAGCATTATTGCTTATTTACATCTGTGGTCCCTGCACAGGAAGATCTAAAAAAAAAAATAAAAAAATTGTATGTCCTTGATCTTTTTAACACACCTTTCCTTCTCCTTTCCTTTCTTTCCAGACTCTACAGGTCCAATGACCACAGCCCACAACCACCCGCCTCACATGGGTGGCATGGTGGGCCACCCGTCCGTCATCAGCACCTCCAGACCCTTACCATCCCCAATGTCCACCTTGGGCTCGCCGATGAACGGCCTGGCCTCACCTTACCCCGTCATCACATCTTCCCTGGGCTCACCTGCTGTATCTCTGCCGTCCACACCCAGTATGAACTTCGGACAACTCCACAGTCCACAGGTGAGAAAATGTCTGGTTGTTTTCATGGTCATCAGATAGTCATGGACATTGACTTAAAAATATTTTTTCAGATAAAGTTCAGTTTCATCTTTTTACTCGTGAAAATATACATTTCTAATTGACATAAATATGATAGACTAGTAATAAGTAGAAGGCTTATGTTCAAAGGTTGATGTTCAGTGCATGCTGTTATAAACATATCACTTTATATTTTATCCACGTTTTAAACACCAGAAAGCTGTGTTTAAAGCTATTTTGTGTTTTAAATGTTCTTAAAAAGTCTCAACATTAACCTTCTATTCATTGCGGCACTCTCCTAAGCACTTCCTCCACAGAGGTTTATATGCTTTCAAATTACTACTTTTGGCAAGGTCCGTCTGCACTAAACTATGATGTTCTTGGGTTGATCATGTGCCTCTAATTCCTGGAATCTCATCCAGCAGACAGGAGGTTGGAGGTTAGCCCATATCCAATGTGTTTGGCTGGCATACCTTGGCTTTCCTCTCTCTCCCCTACCCTTCTGCTGACCTTTAAACTTCTCGCCCTAAAGGTCATCCCTGAGTTTTGTGTTTCTGCTGTCATGCGAGGGGACTTGAGACGCAGTGCGACTATTAGCCCCTTTAATGGATTACTGAGGGAGAGGAAAGGGGGAGAAAAAAAGAGCAAGCCCCCATTTTCTCTGCCATTTTTTGCAGTTCCTGAACATTTCTTCTCATTTTAACACCGTCTCTCCTGCCAGCATTGTCTCTTTCAGAAGTTGCGTCTAGGCTATTTTGTCTAAGTTGATCAGGATGCTAATGCAGCTTACTGTCCCTTGTGAGGTTGCAAATTTTTAATAAATGATTAACAGAAACACCCACAGGACTGCTCTTTTCACAATTTGTCACAAAGCTCTACGAGAGAGAGCGAGAGAGAGAGAGAGAGAGAGAGAGCGAGAGAGAGAGAGAGAGAGACACACAAATAATAGAGCTGCATTCTCTAAGTGGTCTCTGTGCTTTGATGATTGGCCACACAGACAGAAACATACATGCACACACATGAAGTACTCTAAAGGCGGGATCCAGGCCAGTGCTGCAGGGCACAGCAGACAGTTCTATACATTAATTCAATCACAGTTATGTATCTTTGCCTTCAGGCTCCATCAGGGTTGATATGATTGTATGTTTGGTGTAACCGTCTTTTCACTACTCATCAACAGCACGGACCAAGCCACCGTCAGGTCATTGTGTCGTAGCATCCCATGCTGTTATCATAGGTGAACTGGAGTTCATGGCAGTGCTGGGCTCAAAGGAGCGTCACTATATTCAATGTACTACTCATACTATAGTGTGTGGGTTGTATGTGTAGTTGAGTGTAAGTAAACACGTTGCTCATTTATGTTTTGATATCTTTTTTTTCTAATAAGACATCACCAACTTTTTAAATCGAGGTATACAACACGTATATGGAATAATTCAACTCACAGTATGACTCAGAATTAATATTCTGTTGCTTGATGAAGGAAGTAACTAGTCAATAAGTTTGAGATAAATAGTTTCTCCGAAGTATAAGTGTAATATAGTTTATATGCTTTTTTGTATCAACCCTGGAAGTAATGAGCATTCAGCTAATCATTTAGTCAGCTGATGACTAAAAACAGACAACATCCCCTTCACTTCTTCCAAAAGCCCAAGTTACCACATCAAATGTTCCTGTTTTCTTTCTGACAAGACACAGATATTTTCAGTGTAGTATTACTGGAAAGAAAGAAAACCAGCAAAAGACTCCCATGTTGGAACCTCAGAATGAGTGATTTGTGGCATTTTTGTCTAAAAAAAATCACTTAAATGCTTAATCTGGTATCAGAAAAATTGCTGTTTAATTCTTGATCCATCAACTAATCAGTGTATGGGACGCTGGTGGCGCAGTGGTTAGTGCGCGCTCCCAATGTATGGAGGCTGTAGTCTTCCAAGCGGGCAGCCCGGGTTTGAGTCCAGCCTGTGGCTCCTTTCCCGCATGTCATATCCACTGTCCTATCTCTACATTAAAGGCCCAAAAAGCCCCAAAATAAATCTTAACTAATCTACAACTAATCAATGTATTGGCTAATTCTGTTCAAAAGATAAGCCAAGTTAAGAGATCAAAGTCTGCCTCTGAACAGTGGAGACACTAGTCCGGCCCATTAAATACCACTGTAAACATTTTATGTCTGATGCAGTGTGTCCTTCGTAGCATGTGTTATATAAAGAATGTATGATACATCAATAATCCATATACAGTGCTTGTAGCTCTTTTCTACTCTATTCTTCTGCAGTTTGTTGTCTGTCTGAAACCACGTGTGTTTGAATGCAAGGCTTATTTTTCACCAAACACACATATGTAAAATCAATTATTTGTGAAAACAGTGTCGTACAATGCCGTCGACTTCCATATGCAAGTAGGCATGAGGGGCTGAATGCTCATGCATGTGGGACTGTTTGCCTTTTGGGCAAGAAGAAGGTGGTGGTGTAGAGAGCTAGTAAACTTCAGAGAAAATGAGAGACACAAAAAGAAAATCTCTCTTGTGCTGTATTTAAGGTCACAGGCCTGAGTTCAGTCTGCCATTAGAAGAGATACAGACGAGAGTGCATGTTTTAAATAAGTGATAGGAAGAGCCTGAGGTGACTGTGAGAACGATGTCCTTTATGTCATGCCACATCAAATATATAGGACATAAGGCAGGACATAAGTAGGTCAAGCTTGTTGTTTCTTCTTGTAATTCAGATGTTAGCGAATAAACAATTGAACAAAGAAAGTGTTCAACTAAAATCTGTATCCTGTCTGGTGTTCGGAAGTGGGGAAGGGTCAAAGGGAGCAGGAAAGATACATGAAGTGTGAGATGCATGAAGCAGTCTAAGGCTGTTATATTTGTTGCCTGGACTAGTCTGTTTTTCATTTGATTTGTTGATTGGTTCAGAGTTCCAGTAATTCATACTCTTTTGATTTCTAAGAAGACGCTGACTTCTGATGAAAAGATAGGGTTATTGCTAAATTGTGTGTTAATGTGGTGTCTCAATGTTTAAACAACACATGTTAAGTGCCCCCTGCTGTTTGTATTTGAGAACTGCACCCTTTGAACACATGACTCCCTACATAGCCTCTCCCTCCCCTGTCAACAAACATTAAAATACCTGTATGACAAGCCTCAGACAGAAGCCCAACCCACTAACTGAGCATGTGATCTCAGACACTTTCACAATAAAGTTTGTAGGTGGGGAGAAGAAAAAATAGTAAGGGTGAGCGGAAGACAAAATGAGAGAATAGGGGAAGGGGGGGGCGTATCATGAGACGGCCTAGCACTTTTTAAACTTACTTCCCCTTTGCTTCCTCTTCTGCTCTGTTCAAATTCACTTTGGCCTCCTCAGCTTTATAACTCTTTGTCTCTGCTGTTTTTTTTTTTTTTTCGTCTTCCTGTTGTCCTCAGATGAATTCCATGAACAGTGTTAGCAGCTCAGAGGACATCAAGCCTCCACCGGGCCTACAGAACCTGGGAAACCTCAACTACCAGTGTACGAGCCCTGGGGGGAATGTCAAAGCACATCTGCTCTATTTGTGGGGACCGCTCCTCAGGTAATGTTACAGGGGGGGGGGATAGGGGAGAGGTATGGCTATGACAATGTACACTCCCAGTCACCATAAAACATTGCACAACAGATGACTGGAAAGTTATCAAAGACAGACTGCTTTCAAAGTTACTTGTCAGTTGTTTTTAAGGGCCACGAGTGAAATGTAAAGTTCTCCTTTCAAAATGTCAGCAGGAAAACTTTCTCTTTCAGCAGAGAAAGTTATTGACATCTTTAAGCCTTAAAAGTTAAGCCTCTTCTGCAAGCAGGAAACGATGCGGGGAAACACTGCAGCTGATAGTAGTTAGAAAAAAGAATGCGGAAAGGTATAGCAGATGGAGAAGAAGTGTTTGTTTTTTCTAAATCTCCTGTGAGGAGTTTTTAGCTGGTGAGCATCAATCTGACTGAAACTTATACTAATGCCTCCATGTGACTTACAAATACAAACAAGACCATCAAAGAAAATTGATCCTTTCTAGTAAGTTATTTTATATGCTGGTCACTCACACACACAGACAAGATGATTAACAGCATGTTGCCTAAAAAGCCTCTTAAAATAATTTCCATACCAAACATTCATTGTGAGCTGCACGGGCGGCTGCTCAGTTGGTAGAGTCTCAACCAGAAGGTCAAGGGTTCGATCCCCAGCTGGGCAACATGTCCGATGTGTCCTTGGGCAAGACACTTAACCCCAAATTGCTCCCACTGCTTCGGTGGCGGTGTATAAATGGCATTAGTTACTTCTGATGGATGATACTACATAGCGATCATCAGTGTGTGAAAGGGTGTGAATGGGTGGGTGTGACATGTGGTATGAAAGCACTTTGAGTAGTTGGAAGACTAGAAAAGCGCTATATAAACTCAAGTCCATTTACATTAGACATATAAATATAAATAAAGATTTGATTTTATGTCAGAAAACACTTCTTACAAATGTACAGGACAAAACCAGCAATGAGAAATTAAATCCAGCTTTGTCCAGTGGTCGCAAGATCAACACAACCCAAAAGTTACTCACAGGTTCGTTAAATTGTAGAAATCTGTTGGTAGGTCGCTTAATAAACACAAAATGGATCTATCAACATTTATGTTAATGATACAAAGCACCAGCAGACCAATCATTTATCTTCCTGTTACTGGAACATTTTATTCAGCTCAAACACATTATAACTGTGAAATAAGCTGTGGTTCAAATGTATCTGGCTTCAGACCACATCACAGCCCTAAGACTGCACTGATCAGAGTATTAGATGATATTTGATCATAACCCGTTTTTGAGACTTTTAACGAGGCAGTGGCAATGTGTTTGCCATTGGTGGTCAGAATTTTCAAATCACTTTGACATCTGGAGTCCCACAGGGTTCAGTTCTTGGACCACTTTTATTTAACCTGACATCCCCCATTAAGGTCAAATCATACTCTTCAGTTATGTTGCTTTTTAAGGCTTTTCGGAGGAAACTCACAAAGTGACTACTGTTTCATACACCCTTACTATCGTTAGAACCAATGAACACTTGGGTGTTATCAAATTGCCACTAATTAAAAAACACAAGTCATCCTAGTTGGCAACAAAGAGGAAGGAATGAGTATTACTATGCTGAGTATTTCAACATGATTCTGAACCTACCTTGATAAAATTCCAAGTTAAATACATTTCGTTATATTGAACTTTGGATTTGTCAGCAACCACATCAGAGTAATAACTTAGGCAAGCATTGTAATTCAAGAATAAGATGTGTTGCAACAAAATGAAGAGAAGCTAATTCGTGCAGACATACCATTTGCATGGCCTACCGTAACAGTTTGTCAAAATGTGCCCTAAATAACACTCATTATTACTCATTCTATTTAGATTAAATGTATGCTGTTAAAGCACTTTGTATTCCCTTTGTGTTCAAAATGCTCTTATGAATAAAGCCTTGCTTTTTTCTGCTCCAAATGGATTGTTATTGTCTTATAAAGGCAACACTGTCTTTCTAATGTTGTACCCAATTGCAGGTTCATTATCTGGTTAACATATATGTAAAGCCTAAAGCAGGACTGATGCTATGTACCCTGTTCCCATAGGAAAGCACTATGGTGTGTACAGCTGCGAGGGATGCAAAGGCTTCTTCAAAAGGACCGTTCGCAAAGATCTTACCTACACGTGTCGAGACATGAAGGAGTGCCTGATTGACAAGCGGCAGCGAAACCGCTGCCAATACTGTCGCTACCAGAAGTGCCTGGCCATGGGCATGAAGAGAGAAGGTGTGTAGTGCATGTGTGAGGATGCATGCTTCAGGAGAGGTATGGATATGTGCTCCAGGCTTTGGTTCTTTGATATCTTAAAATCCACAAACCATCATGATAAATTCATGTTGTGGGGATAAACATTGCTCAACCGTGATGAAACTGTATTTTTAATTCTAGTCAAGATGTCCAATTTTTCAAAGACATCTTGCATCTTGTCGCAGGCTGAACTCAATTAAAATGTGTCTTACACATTGCATAAACATCTTAAGATATTTAATAACGGTTATAGTATTAGAAATTATATATTAAAAAGGACTTGTATGTATAACCTTCTAATGATCAATCTGTAGATCCTAGAGTCAATTTTAATGCTGGACAGTAAGCAGAGGGTGTTTGACCTTAAATGTATGTGTTTGTGTGTGTTGGTGTGTGTTCAGCGGTGCAGGAAGAGAGGCAGCGTGGGAAGGAGCGGGGTGAGAATGAGGTGGAATCCACCAGCAGTTTTAATGAAGAAATGCCTGTGGACAAGATCCTGGATGCAGAGGTGGCAGTGGAGCCCAAAACAGAGGCGTACAGTGAAGGCAGCCCCAGCAACTCAGTAAGAATCACAGACGATGAGCTAGATTTGGTTAAACCCATAAACTATTAATTATGATACTGAGGCAGCTTCTTACAATTCAGGGAACCACTGTCTTCTAAAAATACGCTGCTTTATCATGTAAGCCTTATCAGTGGTGGTGGAGAAGCTTATACAGTTTGTGACTGTTTTTGCATTTTTCCTTTTTTGTTTCCCTGCAGACCAACGACCCTGTAACTAATATCTGTCAAGCAGCAGACAAGCAGCTCTTCACTTTAGTGGAGTGGGCCAAAAGGATCCCTCACTTCTCCGAACTCCCCCTGGATGACCAGGTCATCCTACTACGAGCAGGTAGATACACGCACATCATGCCCTGTATGCAGCAGTCATATTTAGAGGTATGTATTGTGTAGACATTTTGAGAGAGAACCCCCCCCCCACACACACACACACACACACACACACACACACACACACACATGAATGCACACACACACACAAACATGTACTTCTTGCAGTAAACAGGCCTCTTTACAACCCATTGTCCTCATAGTGGTGTTAAATTTCCTTCAGGGCTTTCATTCATCCCCAGGCAGGCAGTCTATTTGAGTCTTTTACATTTGCTCAACACATTTTTACCATCTAGTTTAATGGAGCAGTGAAACCAAATATAACTGGACTATTTGCCAAGTCCCAACAGTGTGGTTTGCAGCTGCACCATGGCTGACCTCTGGTGGTGAGAGATTTTACACACAGGCATGAGAGCAGACGAATACTGTAATTTTACCACAGACAAGTCTCAATCAATCAGTCTTTATTTGTGCAGCGCCAATTTATAACAAATGTTATCGCAAGACACTTTACAAAAAGCAGGTAAAAGACCTTACTCTTTGTTATATAATGTTACAAAAGGGCAGGTAAAAGGCCTTGCTTATTCCTAAAAGTTAAATTCTCAAGTATTATTTTGTACATCCTTTACAGTACCACAAAAAGGAAAGGGATAAAGGCTGGAGAAGTCACAGTTGTTGTTTTTTTTGTCTCCTCCAGGCTGGAACGAGCTTCTAATTGCTTCATTTTCACATCGTTCAGTCACAGTAAAAGATGGCATCCTGTTGGCAACGGGCCTCCACGTGCACAGAAGCAGCGCCCACAGTGCCGGAGTGGGCTCCATCTTTGATAGGTAGGCAGAGTTAACTACAACCATCAGCCACAACCTCCAGAAGTTGATTAAAGATTAGTCTTATTTTCTTCTTTTCAGTGCAGAAAAATACTGAGAGAGAGAAAGAGTAATATTTAGGGGAAAATATACAGTATACAATGTAATAGTAAGACTGTTTTAATCATTCGGTCTCTGGTTTTGGAACAAGTCTTATCTGACCTCAAAAGAAAAAAGTATAATGTTATTATTTTATTTTTTTTACTTTACCAAACCACTGCAGGCAACCTTTTTAATCCACTGTATTGCCTGAGCTAAGATGTCTTCATCTGCTACTATAGCCTTAGCTGCTTCTATGTAAAACATATTGATATTTTACTCAGGTGGAATGCTGAAACTTGCTGAATGTACATCAACTGTAGTTCAATCAGGACCACTTTGTCAAGAAAAATAGTTGATTTGCAGTTATTTGTATTTGGCAATATGGTTCAGTTCTGGGCTTTCCCTGCCCTTTAACTGGCTTATTTTGAAAGCAGTAGGCAGGAACAGCACACATTCCAGCCTTTCCTGTGCATACAAGGAAAGCCTGAGGCAGGGAGAGATGCAGCAAAAACCCAGAACAGAAAGGCATCAATGACAACATCGTGACACACCATTAAAGGAGGAGCTGGGGTGGAGGAGAATTGCAAATGTGTATGCAAATGCAGCCTGCAAAGGGAGCAGCAAAGAGTAGACAGGCTAGAGCAGCTTAGATAAGGCGGCATGAGTTTGATTAGCCAATTGGATGCTTAGAAGAGAATCAGCTGGCCATCAGTTGATGAGGGCTTGCATTCAGATCAGCTGTTACCAAGCAAACACTGGCATGACTCTATGTCCTGCCTGAACTAATACTACACTCAATTTTTCAAAACTTGTTTTTCATTTTATGTCCTTTAGAGTCCTGACAGAGCTGGTATCCAAAATGAAAGACATGCAGATGGATAAGACGGAGCTCGGTTGTCTGCGAGCCATCGTCCTCTTCAACCCAGGTCCGTACAGCCTCCTGTCGCTCTGCCGCACACACAGCCCGAGATGACATTTTGAATTTTTGATTTCCTCTCTTATAACTAGGTTTTCTATATAAACAGTTTGCTTTAATCACAGTCTTCCAGTTGTGCTTGTACGTAACTGGCATACTGTGCATACTGCAAAACTGCGTAATAGTGCATGCATAGTAGTAGTACATAAAAGAAAGTTGGCAGAAATCTGGGCTGCTCTATGGACCCATGTATTATTTTCCAGTAAGGTAATGTCAGCTTAACATTTGGCCTGACTGTGAGTCTGTGCTCGTGTTTCAGATGCAAAAGGTCTTTCAAACCCACCAGAAGTTGAAGGGCTGAGGGAAAAAGTTTACGCTTCTTTGGAATCATACACGAAACAGAAATACCCAGACCAGCCTGGCAGGTAGGACATTGTTGTATATATACTGTCTACACATACACAATGAATTGTTCATGTCATTAACTTTTTTTAGCTGTTGTATCTAGTGACGTGTCGTTGGTGAACGAATCGTTCAAAAAGACCAAATCATCTGGGTGAACGAACTGAATTGAATCACTTACTGAAAAGAGTCGTTCATTGCTCAACTTCAGTTGAGCTCTCCTCTCTCCCGTCTCGTGTCTCTCTCTCTCTCTATCACAAGTGGCTTGTCAAGTATAGTGAGTCGCTCAAGCCTGCCCTCCCTCTCTCTTTCATGACTCATACTGGTGCCTCCGAGGCAGGTCAGTCAGTGACTCGATTTGTACTGAACGTCCCACTGAACGTACTGCTGCACAGAACATGACAGAGTCGGTCGCGAGCCCTGTGTCAACTCATTTTATTTTATTGAACTGCTTTTCACATCACTAGTTGTAGTGTAATAGAAATCAACAACTATGATGAAGAAGAATCTTTGATCCTTCCCCTTTGTTTGTCACAGGTTTGCCAAGCTGCTGCTGCGACTGCCTGCCCTGCGCTCCATCGGACTCAAGTGTCTGGAGCATCTGTTTTTTTTCAAGCTGATTGGAGACACACCCATCGACACCTTCCTGATGGAGATGCTAGAGGCGCCACATCAGATCACATGACACCAGTCCCCCCTCCCCCTGTACATACTCCCAAGTTGTCAGCGACATGAAGATGGAATAAAGAAAGACTTGATTAAACTGGCAAAGCAGCATATTTTGTACCTAGCACAACATTGTAATTAAAATGGAGTAAAAAATATTTTGAGGTTGTGTGGTGGGTGGAGCAGTGAGACGGAGGATGGAGTGCACTGTCAACATGAATTCTAATAGAATTGTTAACAGATTTCTGTTGTAAATAGATAATTTCAGGTGTCCATTTAAAGAGCAACACAATGCAATTTAAAAAAGAATCATATTTTATTCAAAGAGGAATTGTATAAAACGGGAAACATTCTTGCATTTCTTAAAACACATTTGAGAATTCTTACGGAATAAAGTTATTTAAAAAAATATCTGAAATGTGTTTGTGCCTTCATTATTTTCACCCATTATACAATAGATGATAAAACCTCATCACATAAATGCAACATGTATTAAAGTCAGTATTGTTTCATGGATATTTTTGATTGAGTTTTCAACACCTGAAAGTTTTGCTCGATGCTTTTGAATGAAAACCATTTATTTTTTGATTTGAACATAAATAAAATATAATAAAATAGAAAATCAAAGTGTTATCACTTGTATGTTAACACAAAGGCATTTCTTATAGTGTTAATGGCTGGATAAAGTTCAAAACATTCTATGATGAATTGTTGGTATATAGAGAAAAACTGTGTAAAACGTTACACTATTTTCTCCTTTACTATTTCACAGACAAAAGTAGCCCAATGTCTGTGTTGAGTAAATAAATGCGCTTGAATTAACATTGCTATAACTCTGGGTTGAATAAGGCTTTGCCCACTAGATGGCGATCACAGAGTGAACAGGAAAAGACCGATGTTGCATCACTGCATGTTTGATGTTCATCCGTCTGTGCAGATTCCTGAATCCTCGAGTCTGTCGGAGTCTTCATCACCAAAAAGACATAGTTAGCAGAAACTTTGATAGCCTAATGATGAAGAAAAAAGTTTAACTTTTTTTTTTTTAAATTTGCGGATGAATATGACAGCTTGTTATTTTCCTAACACTGATACTTAAAACACTTTCAATGTCTACTTTTATAAGAACTGCCAATTCTAGCAATGCAATGCAAACGATATTTTGAGTCAGCCTATAATATAATCGCTTCAAAGGCATATGAGAACGCTCTAAAGACTACAGTCAAAGGAAACCTGAATTGTGTCAAACCCTCCAGTATTTATATTGTTACTAATAATTTGCATTATTATATTTCACCTTATGTCACCCCGTTTCTTGGTCTTCAGAGGACCCTTTATTTAGTTTTATTCTACTTAAGACAATTTCTTCAGCGTTGAGATTGGAACGTGTTGATACATAACATGGACTTTATTAGTTGAGAAATAATTCAATGTGAAACGATACCACGAGTAAGATCGCAATTTGTTTTTTAAGCGATTCAAAATCTGACAATCCCTTTTCATCCTTATAGAGGCTATCAATCGATCTATCGATAATTCCGGCCTCTCCACGTGTACTTTACTTCCTGAGCACTATAAGCAGTTTTCTAATGGAAAAAAAAAACGTTCATGTGCGTTTCTGGTCACTTTCTTCAACTTTGGAGGAGAGAGATAGAGAGAGAGAGCTAGAGAGAGAGAGAGAGAGAGAGCGAGACAGTGAGGGAGAGAGAGAGACATAGATGGGAGGGGGAGAGAGAGGTAACCGGCACCTGCACATGGAGGGACTTTCTTTCTCTCTCTCTCTCTTCTTCCTGTTTACTCCTAATACAGAATAAATGATAGACAAACAGGCCTACTCAATAACAGTGACTCAGGGAGGTCGCGCTGCTTTTTGCCCCGGACATGAAGTTGCAGCAGAACTGAGAGGAACCGGTAACTGAGAACCAGGATACTTTTCTATCGTCTTAAAGCTCGCGTTAAACAGGTATGGGCTTCTTGAAATCTTATAAATGTCATTTAAAACGTTAGGTTAGGTCTGCTCCAAAACTTTCTTCACAACATAACGACTTTAAAAAAAAAAAAAAAAACTTTAGTCAAAATATTTCACAGTGTTTCCTTAGAGTAGCTGTTTTGGAACGATTAGCATTGTTTTTATTTTTGATAAAACTTGATAAAAATGTAATCTTTACATTTTTTTGAAGGGATTTTCAGAACTTTAATTAGCCGATTTATTTGCTGGTTGGTCACAAACTTAATTAATTCGTTTACTGTACATTCCGTTTCACATAGGCCTATCCATTTGAATGAAAACACATATGTATGTTTACCTGCCTTCTCTTTACACCATGAAAATATTATATTATATTATTTTGCAAATGTTTTAAAAAAATGAAAGAACTAGTAAACTTTAGTTTAAAAGGTGCTTAATAAAAAAAACAAATCGGCTATTTTATTGTTATGACCTCCTTCAAACTCTGCCCAGTCATATTAGGTCAATATTTCAGCTGCGTCCTGCTTATCAGTAAACAGTTCTTATTAAAGGATTTCCATCGTTGCAGATATGGATCAGAGGGGCAGTGTGTGCCGGATGCCACCGGCTGATCTCAGACAGATTCCTGCTCAGAGTCTCTGACGGCCTCTGGCACGAGGAGTGTGTGCGGTGCGCCGCGTGCGGGGACGCGCTCGCAAACTCCTGCTTTCTGCGGGACCATAAACTTTACTGCAAAAGGGACTATGCTGAGTGAGTAACGGACTCGATTTATAAGTTATTGTTTTGTCCTTCCTGATGTTACAGCTGAAATCACAAAACACACAAATAGGTAAATCATTTTTGACTTCATCAGAGTGAAGAGTTGAAGTAGATGTGATTTTATATGGTAATGTAGGCCTAATTGAACTGAACTAGTTTAAGCTTGTTTCATTTTAATTACTGTTTATAAGGACAATTGCTGATAATGTTGTTACATTCAGATCAGTCCATGTCTTTTTTTCTTGTCTTGTCATCATGCTGTGTTAGCTCTGGCACTTGTGCCCATTTGCAAAGTACAGTAGCTACTCCCCATACTTTATTGTGCATTGGCGAAACATCTTACTTTGTCAAACAATGCCCTTTTATTTAGTTATAGACTACTTGTTGGTCGCTTGACATATTTTTAAATAATTGTATTCTATTTATTTGGCCCAGGGGTCCTAAAGGTTATTTTGTGTTATTACAGTAAGATTATTTTCACAACAGAACCCTTGTCCAGATTTGACCTTGACTAAGAATGTGTGTGTGTGTGTGTGTGTGTGTGTGTGTGTGTGTGTGTGTGTGAGCAGAGTGAGGAAACATGGGATTTCTTGATATAGTTCTTTTTATACAAATTTGCATATGTACTTCTGGGTGTAATTTATAGCTTATGAAAATAGCTTTGTGTTATGTTTCTTTGTTCATGTTACAATCTTTTTGCGTATATGGTTTAAGTGACTGCCAGAAAACTTGGCACAGTGTACCAAGAGATGAAGGTGACTGTAGGAGGAAGGGGTGGCAAGGGAGCTGGAATGTGAGAACACTACTGCATAGTGGACATCCATACACACGCACATGCACATACACACCTACAAAACAACACAGTCACACCTTCACACACACACATTCAGCACACAACCAGGGGTAGAGCTCAACTGACACATTGTCAAAATGTGTTAAAATTTGGAGGCCCATCGGCGTGGCAACTGCAAGCTGGGGACAACATATGGTCTTGTCGCTGAGAATCCCCCCCTGCCCCCCAACAATCCTACCATCATCACCCATCGCCGCCCACTGCCTCATCCTCTCATTTCTCCTCCAAAACACGCTTTCACCTCAAGAACCAAAGCCATAACCGCACACCTATAACAGGCAGCAGCTCTCAGTATTTCTGAGCAATTTAGGGACGCTCGTTCTGCCAAGACAACAAATGTTACACTTAGTAGTCCAAAATGTTCTCCCTCATCACCACTTTAATAGTCCACAATGTCACATCGCCGTAGTGTTTGAGGCCCATGGACCTTTTTGAGCAGAGTTTGCATAAACTGATGACCAATAATAATTTTTCCAAAATAATTTAAAATTAAAATTAATAAACAGGATCATCATATAACAGTTAAAACCAAAACATTAATTTCTCTTACAACATAAATGTCACACAAAGTGTTTTACATGGACATAAAAGAAAAGAACATGTTATAAATAAAATACTCAATAAAAAAAGGAACTGACAAACTGGTACATTAACACATTAACACAAATCTGTTGATCAAGACTTCACGTTATCGTAATTGGTAACATAAACAGACATATATTGATGGTATAGCATTAATGTTATTTATCTGTTGTGACATAGCCTACATTTAGGGGGTAAGCGTAACAATTAAATCAATGTTTTCCAAGTTTTCTGAAACTTATCAGAGGAGCCATGTATCATAAATCAATTTTTTAGGTTTAATGTGCTGCATTGGATGACTAAACATTTGAACCAGCTTTTAATGGGAAATAAAAATCTGATCAGATTCCCGTAAAAGATTCACAATTCAAAATGCTGAGCATGAGATGAAAGCGCTTGGCCAGATCACTAAGAAGAGATGTGGACTGAGAGGTAATTAGGAGAGAAGAGCCATATGTCAGAAGGTGTGCTGCAACCCTACAACAGAGACAATGCTGCTGGTTTGAACTTATTTTGAAAGGGAAAGAGCGCTCCATGAGCCCTGGCGTTTTGTGCCGTGGCATCTGGATGGCTCGGCTCACAGCAGCCCGCGTGTCGAGCGATGGGACGACGCCCAGTCGACCGTGAGTTATCTGACCTGACCAATTAGCAGGAGGCCGGGTGCCAGAGCTCTGCCTCTGAGCTCTCCCATCTCCACCTTCCCGCTACATCCTGTGAGTAGTTACGGCTCCTTATTACACATGAGCATCACTTTGTCCACCATAAGGGTTTTTAAAAACTGTGCCAGTGTTTCTCTCGCAGTGCAAACTGTGTTCTCCTCCCTTCTTTTCAAAGGTTCCAGGAGGAGTGTGAAGCCAGCTCATAAGTGACGATTATTCCATACTGTGACAACATTTGTCTCCTACCACACGCTGGATCTTCTGCGTGTTTTTCCCATGCGCTTTTGTGGCAGTAGACCACCAAGTTTGGCCAGTTAATGGAAACTCAAAGACAATATTGCCAGAATGTGAATATCCTGAACAAAGGAGTTTAAATTGTCATGAAGGAGGCAAATTTAAACCAACTCCTGCCCAGTATCTGAGAAAATTAAGTGTAAATCAAGTAAAGGTAAATTCTTCATACAAACAAAATCAACGACAACAGTGGCAAATATTGTCATTAAGCATGGGCTAAAAAATCCTGACCTTCTGCAGAAGGGCAGACCATCACTTAAAATGTACTCAGACACCTTGGAGCACCCAGTGAAGAAGTTTTGTTTTGTTTTTTAGTCTTTGTTAAACAGACAACAGAGCCTTAGTTATGCTAAATGATAAATCTTCTAAATCTAAAAAAAAAAAAAGTGTGTTTTAAAGTTTTGCAGCATCAAAGTTAAAAAGGAGGGAAAGGGCTGTTTGTGGTAGATTGGCTAGTTCACCCTCGCTGAACAAATAATTGCATTTGAAAAGAATTGTAATTTAGATAAAGTGATAAAATAATAATAATAATCAAAATGAACACATATTTTGTTTCTTTGGCATAAAAGTTCTCTCAGGCAAAACAGACATATTGGGAAATACCCCTGACATGATTGTCCCTAAAACTCATACAGTTTATTGACCTGCAGCATATGAATAATATACACACACTGCAATGAACTGAAATGTAACAAAGCACAATACAAATGTCCTGTCTGCGAAGTGATGTTTTGGTGTCTTGGATTCAGATTGGCTGAACGGTTCAGTGACTAGTGGACTGGTCATCAGATTGTTCGTCGGATCAGCGGCCTGACTGTCAGTGCACTTGACCCGCAGATCTGTACCTGATACAGATAGTGTGTGTGTGTGTGTGTGTGTGTGTGTGTGTGTGTGTTGAGGGAATGATCCAAGTTAACCTGATCGAGAAACAGGATCTGTGTCTCTGCATGTCCATTGGACCAGCAGTCTGTTTGTAGACTGCTAAAGGTAGGCACTGAGGTCACAGACATTAAGAAAAGAGGGCTTATCTCTGGACTAAATGTGTGTGTTTGTGTCCGAGTGTCTCAAAGTTATCCACCTTAAGAATGGCTGTGTCTGTGAGGAGTGCAGGATTTTGCTGACTTATTTCTCCATAATGATTGTGTCACTAATTGCCATGACTAAATCCAGCGTGACTGAGTGTTCCCGCTCTCCTCGCAGGGTCTCTGAACGCCAATCACACCAACGGAAACTCTGAAATATTAAACACCTCAAGCCGCTCCATAAGTATGGGAGCTACTCTTACCTTTGCATTAACAACGCTCAGGAATACTTGGTATAATAGGATGAACGGGAGAAGGTGCATTATGGAAAAGCGATTCTCGAAACACAAGAACGTTAATGCCCATGGTTTGTTCATCACTGTCATTTAGCATTAGCATCACATTCAGGCATTAAATGAAGTATACTCTGCTGCATCGTAGAGAAATGTTCCGGGTATTTCCTCCGCCATACTTCCTGTAAAAATGTTTTTTGTTGCATCTTGTGTTGCCACAGGAATGAACATACCTCAGACGGTATGTTGGCCATATTAAAGCGCATACCATTGAAGCCATGGAACAGACGACTCGGACGGGTCAAGCAGCCCGTCTGACCCTCCTGAGCTGCTGGGAATGGGGTTTTAGTGTCTCCTTAGCGACCCCACGGCAACAGTGAGAGGTCTGAGCAATGTTTGTCTTCAGGATGTTGAAGCTTAAGACCTTTGACAGGGACTGTCAACCTGAGTGTTTGCTCTATGTTCAGACAGAGGTTTTGTTAGGTTGTCAATATTGTGCTAAAGTTGTTTTACATAGATTCAAAAAACAAATTAGAATGCAGTATTTTTTTACATGAAGCTAACTTGAAATTTTTAGACAAAATTTGGACAACACTTATCGGTATTATGTGGACTTAAATTCAGTTTAAACTAGAAGTGTTTGGCATAGGGGAGACCTGGGGCAATGCAACGTTGTTTTTACATTTCCTCCATAACTCACAGATTACAAGATAAATGTATGCACTAAATAATGAGGCTATTTCTATATGTTTAACCATCAAGAACAAGACATATTGATTCAATTCAATGAAAGAAGTAAGATTCTCACAATTACCCCCACCATTTTGGCAAATTTGGTGAAGAAATCCCGCTCATTTTCTGTAGGCAGAGAGAGAATGCTGCTGGGCATGTGCAGAGAAAGTGCCATCACTCTAGCTTGTTTCATATTGGAGGAATTGAGCATGTTATGATTGCCACCTGTTACAATTCAATTGCCTCCAGTATCCCCTGTAAGTGTCACACAATGGGATAAAAAGTATTTTTCTTTTACAAAATTTTTTGTTTAGAAATGTAAATTATTTATCAAAATAATTTTACATTTAAGTATTTCTTACAAAGGAGATGTATACAGTATATATATATAATATCTGCAGGTGACCACATATGTGACCATGTAAGATGAAAACTTAAAGGCCAAGTAAAGGCATTAGTAACTGAGTTAATC